GGACCACCCAGGGCTCTGGCCTGAAATCTCAAGGCAGGGATCACGTGGGTGTCCCAAAAGCTCCACCCAGAGATCGGTCCTGGGAAGGGTTCGTAAGCTGAGTAGATACCAGAACCCGGGCGGGGCGGCCGGGATGGAGCCTGGAGAGGAAAGTCGCCAAGGGCCGGGTGCCTGTCCTGTCTCCGTCCCTGCACCAACGCGGGGGGCACATCTGGGGACAGGAGAAGCGGGGAAGGTGACTCGTCCCCGCAGGGAGGGTTTGAGGGCTTGTCAGCCTCAAGGCGACTGCCTCTGGTTGCTCTCTGGGGAGCAGGAGCCCCTCCACTTGGCGGTTGGCCGCTGTGTCCGGGCTCTAGGACCTCCAGTCTGCTTGATACGGGATCCGGGTGGAGGGGCCAGCCAGGGTTGCTGCAGGCTTCGGGCTCTCCCACCCTGGAAGGAGCAAGGAATTGGGAGAGAAGGCTGCCTGTCCACTCAGCCCAGCCTTCTAACCCCAGACACCTGCTTAAGAGTACGGCTCACCTGTGACCAGGCCTGCAGGTCCCGGAGGCAGGATGCTGAGGGTCTAGCAGAGACCCTATTTTCAGATGAGGTGCTCTAAAAACATAGACTTGGGGATCCTGGGCTGGGATAAGGACCCGTCTCACCTAAACTTGGGCCTTGCACACAAGTCCAGCTTCTCGACCCTCCCCTTGAAGCTGCTGTCCCTGGGCTGGGGCATCCCTGAGAGCTGAGGTTGACAGCCTCACCCCTACTCACAGGAGGTGAGAACCGGGCATCCACCCCCATTCCGTCCTTGCCCAGCGTGCACCAGGTAGTGCCCTGACTCAGGGTTCCCAGATCAAGGAAAGGCCACTTCCCCGCTGGGGCAGAGCAAAGCCAGATCCCAGCCCGCCTCTCCTCTGCCCTGCTTGAGTCCCCTGGAATGGACCTGCCTGCCAGAAAGCCAGATCCCCCTTGATCCTGCTTTGCTGCCCCCTGGAGAACACAGGTGAGGTGAAGGATGGGTGCTGAGCCAGAGGCTGGGAGTGCTGTTCACAGAGGAGCCAGAGCTGGCAGAGTCTGCAGAGAGAGGAGACAGGGCCGAGCCCAGCTGGGGGCACAGGGCAAGGAGGCATCCTACGGGTGCTGTGAGGACTGGGGCTAGGAGCACCGACTGGACTTCCCTAGCTGAGAATTTTGCAACCACGGCAGCCAGGGTCCTGAGGGGGAACCAGCTTGCTGTGGGGCAGGGGCTGAGGACCATGGGACATAAATGCCATGGGTGTGGCTTGGGAGATTGAGGTGGGACCCAGCTGCCTCCTGGAAGGCCCAGTTTGCAGGGGACCTCCCAGAGGGTCTCCGGGGATCCTCAGACCTGGGAGGCAGGGCTCCCAGTGTCCAAGGCTAGAGCGAAGGAGCACAGGGTCCCCTGGGCTCTGACTGTCCCCAGTCTGTTGGCCTGCAAACCAGAACCAGAAACTTCCTGAGGCTTGGAAAGATGAGATGCTTATGGGAGCCAGCCCCATCACAAGGCTCTGAAGTCAGAGTAGGGTACAGAGTGAAGGTCCTAGGAGCTGGACAAAGTCCCCAACAAGGCTGGACTCCTCCCTGGAGGGGACAAGGCATGGCAGAAGGGACAGAGCCACTGGAGGGGAATGGACTGGGCTGGGTTCTGGCCACCAGGGCCCCCACATCTCACCTCTTGACTCTACCCTCCTCCCTGCCACCTCTGGCTCTGAAGGGAAACTGCCCCATCCCAAATGCTGCCAGGAGTCAGGGCTTGGGTGCCAGGCTGCGGCGGCAGTGACCAGGAAGGACGGGAGAACGCGAAGCGAGAGGGGAGCAGGGTGGGTGGGAAGGCTGGGGCTGGGGGGGGGGGGGGGAGGGGGGGGACCGGGGGGGTCGTGG